ACCACCACTCTCTTCGCTAGTCCTCGACTTACGACCGCGGTTGATGCTAACATTTTCATTGCTCAGCAAGGCAGATGCGGAGTGAGATTCGCCCCACTTTACGACCTTTTTGTCCCAGTTGTTAAATGAATCACGCTGCCATTAAGCGAATCTGGCTACTTCCATTGACTTTGCTTGTGGGCAGCCATCTGGGAAGGTTTACAAATGGAGATGACACCTGAACTTCAAGTGGTCAATGGCTGTAAACCGAGAACTACCCACCCGTAAGGATGTTAATGTGATCCTGAGGCACAGCATGGAGAGTATTTACAGGGAGACACAATTTTTATTTCTTTTCACTACAAGTACAAAACGTTTCACATGGATAATTGTTCCCTTCAAAATAAAGGAACCTGAAATTACTGTTAAAATAATAGTGGTATTTAGAATTACAGGAAAATTAATACATACAAAAAATACATGAGGTATTTCACCCTCGAAATAAATAAATGCAAAGAAGCAGGAACTCTTTGAATTCCCAAAGATGTCCCTACTTTTTTCCTGTTTTGGAAACAACTTTCTTTTACAAATAATAAAAGTTTCTATCATCAGTTGGGATTTATTACAAATGAAAACTAAAACTAAATACAAATACATTTCAATTACTTTGAAATGCTTCTATTTCCAGTCTGTTAGTATTTCTGATAGTATGAAAATAAATAAAACTTTTAAAACCCAAAATGAAAATCTTTGATATCCTTTGACAGCCGACAGTTTTCCAGTGCTGTTGACTGGGAAAAGCAAACACCAAATTTCTAAGCTGTGCTGTGACTGAATTTTCAAAAATCTATTGATTCCAAGCTTGTAAATCAACAATGTTTTACCTTTGTGTTTAGTTAGTTGAGAATAAGTATTGTGAGTGAGGTAGACAAACGATGACCTCTTTACAGGAGATTTTGTGAAACAGGAAAAACAGATTTCATTCAGCACTGTTTCTTCCACAGTACAGTTGCAAAACAAGTTCTCATTGCTTAAAAAAACATTCATTTCATAGAGAGTCTGTATCACTACAGTAGTCTTCTAAACACTAATCATTTACACTCAATATAAAATAAAGAACAGGAAGAAGTTTTGAAATGCAATTCTTCTTTTTCACATTATTCAGACAGGGCAGTTGACAGGTAAAATCTTCACAACTTTGGACATTGCAGCAAGCCGATGCCAAAGGATAATAATATGTAATAATGTAGCAATAAGATTCATGGGTCTGAGTGATCCATTTCAGTTTATGAGACCTAGTGCCTGAAACCCAATTCTGATATTAGTTTTTTATTCAAGAAAAGTCTTAAGGTAGGTGAATCACTTGTACAAGATAAGAGGCTTCACATGGTATCTGATGGCAACTTTCTCACATCAGTCTCCCTGACTTACAATGAGTAAGTCTAGTTTAGAGGAATTATTCTACACTGTGGTTATGGTAGAGATAGTCTTCTTCTAAAGGAGCCAGCCACTCTGCACCCTCAACATCTGGTTAGATCTTATATAAATCAATTTATCAAGTGACTATATTATTCTTTGAGGAGATCTCTATAACTCCTAAAAAGAATGACCTCTCCCCTGGATTAGCACATAATGAACATGAGATATGGGTCCTAAAATTAGGACAAGATACAAAATACAAATACATTAAGAGATGTTAAGATATTAAGACCAATGAGATATTAAGAGCAATTAATTAGAGATAATTAATAATTTGGTATTCTGATTAAAATAGGGGATAAAACTTTTCCAAGCTTGTTTTAGCCAACAAAATGTCATTCACAAAATAACCACAACAAAATTTTCCAAGGAAAATTCCTATTACATGATCATTAAAAATAACTGTATATCTTGGAAGATCAGTGAAGTAAATCACTATAAGGACTCCTAAACAATGGGCTTATATCAGGGGTGGGACACGACAGGGTTAACTACTGGTTCGGGATTTAGCAGCTTCCCTGCCAGCTGTAAGCAGAGCCTGTTAATTGTCATTAGCATGCTGCTTGGCGAGAAGCAGCCTTTGAAACAGCCCTCATTTCTTGTTTTGTTAACTGCAGCTGTGCCTCGCAAGGCAGCTGAAGTTGAAAAAATCAGGAAATAAAAATCAGGTAAGAGCCCGGGTGGGCGGGTGGCCAAAAACATCAGCAGACATAGAACTGGTTCTATGTCTGCTGCTCTTCAGAGCTACCGGTTCTACAGAGGTGGACAGAACCGGTAGAAACCCACCCCTGGCTTATATTTGTGTTTACCCAAAGATTCCAGTGGCATTTGAACACACACATATGCAATGACAACCACAGCTGAATTTGGACATCTATCTGCTGCATATCTGCTTAATGGCTTCAGAGAAGCGTGCATTTTTAGTTACCAGCTGCAGTCTCATATAATCCACGAGAACCCAGTCAACCAATTTATCAACTGTGTCTACATTTCAAACAAACCTGGCACTGACAATGTAAGAAAGAGCAATTTAACTAATCGAAGTCATTTCAATCTATTAAAGGAGGTGATAAAAAAAGATAGCTCCATATTGAAGCTGTGTTACAAAAAAGTTTGTACCAGAGACTCTATAGTCCAGCGATCTCCAAACTTGGCAACTTTGAGACTTGTGGACTTCAACTCCCAGAATTCCCCAGCCGTTCATGCAAAGTTGCATCCACCAAAACGATTCCACGTGGCAACAGCCACAGCAGTATTAGGTGAAAGAAAAGCCACACAATTGGCTTAGTATCCAATGTGTTAGCATCCAGTTCCAAATACAATTATCTCAATTGCCATTCAAAACCCATCCTGATCCCTCCTGTCTGAAACCCACAATGACCACACCAAACGCTTACTGAATTCCAGCCCTTATACAAGAAACACACCTTTCCATTTCTGACCGGCAGGAGATCCCCAGGTATCCTTATATTCCTGACAGAGTTGTCATTGGCAAGCCAGGATGGTGAACTAATTAATTAATTACTAACTGAATTGATTAATTACTAACAATGTCAGAAAAAAAATGTACAGATCCAATGAAGCCTGTTTAAGCCTGACTCAATAAAGCAGTTTTGGCCTTCCTTCCTCCCTTCAATTATTTCCCTAACTACTGGCAGTTCTCATGGCTCCCAGCCCCCTCTCCTGCGCCCCGCTCCCCCCACAGCACAATGGCTTTGCTTTTAATGTGTACAAGATAGGAAGAAGGAATTTATGAGTGTTCCAAAGGTGGCAGTGCCAGGGGGCAGTGCTTAGGAAGTATACAAAAATCAAAGGTGTGAAACTGAATAATTTTGTTCCTTCCCAGCCAGCGAGCAGTCCTGGTCACATGGTTTTCCATTTAGCAACTGCTTTGCTTAGCAGATTTGTAAGCCCAAATTAGGGTTATTATGTGAGGACACCTCGAACCCACAGCAACGTAAGATAATTTTTCAGGGATCATTGGAGTATTGTAACTTCCCGCCATGCCCTGAAAATAAACCACATTTTCAACAATCAACAAAGAAACCTACTTAAGCTCCAGGGTTTTCAAGTACTGTACGGTAACTCCATCGTGAGGTGGAGAAACACACTTCACCTCTGTTTATACAGGGAATTGAATTCTGGAATTGACAACATGATGGTGGATTGTCAGATACATCCCCGAGATGACAAAGCCATATCTGGGAAGGAAGCAAGGCATTTCAGAAGGACTGTTTACCATGCAAAGGCAAGGAAGGAACACTGAATGAATGGCCTTGCTACCAGTGGAGATAAGCCAGGCAGGATCTGACTCCTCTAGAATCAATGAAAAATACATAATGAAAAAATACATAACATTCAGAGCCTTTGGATTTTAAAAAATGGGCCTAATCTGCAAAGGCCTTCCTCTGCTAGCATTTTTGTGATTTAAAAAATCAATTTCATTTCTGCTACAATTCTGCTCAAAGAGGAAATAAAAAAGCATGGTCAGAGAGCTCTTTCCTGAAAATGTCCATTAAAGATGAAAGAGGCAGTATTTTACATTTGCTGAAGAGCTCAGAAGCTCAGACTGATCAAGGCATACTTTGAAAACAGCCATGTTGAAATTATTGTAAGTGTCCCGAGGAAAAAGGACATCTCGAACCCACAGCAATGTAAGATAATTTTTCAGGGATCATTGGAGTATTGTAACTTCCCGCCATGCCCTGAAAATAAACCACATTTTCAACAATCAACAAAGAAACCTACTTAAGCTCCAGGGTTTTCAAGTACTGTACGGTAACTCCATTGTGAGGTGGAGAAACACACTTCAAGCAGCCAAATGGTAACAAATGGGAGAAACCAGAAGACAACCTTCTAGCACAGCTGATCAGAAGGCGAATTTCATGGAGAAATCAAGCAGACATGTGATAGATAGTCTAGGTCTCTCTTGGACTTCCTTTCTCCCCCAATCTGCAAGTAAACTCCTTTTGCCCTCTCTTGAAGATTTTACTCTAAGGGACAAGGAGACCAGGTAGTGTCTCACTCAGTTGAAGTCACTCGACTCCCAGCAGACCTGGATGGGCTTGTTCGGCTGCTACAAGTTTTCTCATGGATGAGTAGAAAACCTCCTAGAGTTGGACGTTATGGGCGGAAATCCCAATAAATTAGTCATAACGCAAAAAAAAAAAAAGCGCACCAAAATGCTAAACCTTCTGCGGAACTTTCTTCCAAAACTGGTCTGGAAGTCAATAAAACCTTCGTAACCTTGACGTCTGGCTTAGTGCCAGCCTTTGGGATCCATCATTGGAGATGGGCCAACCTCTTCAGTTTGCGGTGCGGCTGGATGGCATGAAAGAAAGACAACGCCACGGAATCCCCCCTGGAAGGCGGGAGGGGGTCTCTTTAGCTCGACCAATGTTGCCAATAGCCACAACATCCGGGTGAAGAATGGCAATAGCTGAAGTGTACAAAAGAGGGGAGAGAGTAAAACTGTAAATATTCAAAATGGCGGCTGCTCCAGGGAAACATTGCTGGAGGAACTTCACAGGGGCTCCCCGGTTTCAAGGGTCTGGTTTTGGAAGGGGGAGCACAAGACTGAAGCCACTTCCAGAGAGAGCCCAGCCTGGGCTGCTGGGCAGGCAGACCATGGAAGAAGCACTTCTGGTGGCGGCTTCTGCTTGCCTGGCGCTCCTGTCTTGGCCGCCCCCTTCCCGGCCCAGGCGGAGAAGGCCTGCAGATCCATCTCAGTGCATTCCACTGGGGCGTGAGGCCAGCAATGCTGAGATTCCCTGGCGCAGGAGGCGGGCTGGGCCAGGCCATCAGGACCTCTGCTGTGGTCCTCGCTGCTCTCGGAAAAGCCCCCGTGGAAGGAGCAGCTGTGGAGCCCAGAAGTCCCCATCAGGGGCTGCGTCTCCAAGGGGCTCCTGGCTGTGGGGGTCTTGGAAGTGACAGTCACCAGCTTGGACCAATCTGTATCAGGCTGTGGATGCGGGAGGCGGGATCCAGAAACATCCGCTCCTGGGATAAACTGAAGAGCTCCGGCAGGGCCTGAAAACAGGAAAAGCCAGTTAAGGTGAACATGGGAAGTCCTACAGCTGCTTGCCCAACTGAGGGAAAGGGAAGACCAACAGCCACACAGGACAGCCAGTCAGCCCTCTGGATTTGAAAGCAAACAGGCAGCCGCATCTTTCCTGGAATGATGGCGCAGTTTTCCCCTCCCCCACCCTCAGCATCTCTTTTGCCTTCACCTTCCAAATGCTGCACAGCTCTAAACCTGCAAAAAAATTGTTTTGGAAAAGAACAATTTCAATTGAACATTGAAATTGATAAAAAAATTATGATGGAAAATAAAATCACAAATGTATTGGGCAGGCAGCCTGAAATCAACAACTTCTTCATTTTTATTTCGCAGCCTTTGTCGTTGATATGGCAAGGCCCCCTGTGGCAAGCCACTCAGTGTCGCTGGATACGAGATGGGCGGCAAATAAATGTCATTATAAATAAATAAACTCCCCACAGGAGGAGGAAACCCCCCCTTTTCCTCTGACCAAAATGTCACTGGGCCAGAAGCCCACCTGAACATCCTCCTGCTGGGCCCCTTCCTCTCTCGGGGCCAGAAGGACCCAGTTCCACCCAAGAGGCTCCCAGGAGGCCAGGCGAGAGTCGAAGGCAGATCTGAAACAGGGGGAGAAACCTCCAAAGATCTGAGGAGGCTGGAGAACCCTCAGGAGGCCCATCGTTCCCCACCAGCGTTGAACCCTTTGTTCGTCCTTAACAAGTAACATGTCAGCTTTGGAAGCCATATTGAGACCAGATGCTTCCACACTGCCACATTCTTGAGCCTGGGAAAATGGGGGGGGGGGATTTCTTGGAGTGTATGTGGTTAGACATAATAGCGTTCTTCTTCTAAGTCAAGGTCATGCTATTTCTACACCTGGGTGAGGGGACGTCTCAAATTGGGAGGGATAGTGATTGGGGCATGTGATGCAATGAAGGGTGCAGGGGGTGGATTTGTAGTCTTTACTTATTGCAAGGAAGTCCGGAACTTTCAGATTCGGGATTCCCCAGATATGTCAGTTTACTATCCAAATAAAACAGAACTTTTGAGAAGATGCCTGTCTCGGAGTTATTGGTTGGAGTGGAGGTTTCCTGGAACGCTGACATAATACAGGTAATCTTCGACTTACGAGCACAATTGAGCCCAACATTTCTGTTATTAAATGAGACATTTGTTAACTACGTTTCGCTCCATTTTATGACCTTTCTTGCCACAGTTGTTGAGTGAATCACTGTAGCGGATAAGTTAGTCACCTAGCTGTGAAGTGAATTTGGCTTCCACATTGACTTTTCTTGTCAGAAGGTCACAAAATGCCCCCCCACTCCAGGACTCTGCAACCATCATAAATACAAGTCAGTTGCCAAGCAACCAAATTACGATCCTGTGACCACGGAGATGCCACAAAGGTCATTTGAAAAATGGCCATAAATCACTATTTTCAGTGCATCAAACAGTCAGTAAATGAACTGTTTCTAAGTTGAGGACTGCCCGTTATGTATAATTTTAAGAAGAGCAAATTATGTTTACACCTTAATTAAGCTGAATCATAAAAGACAAAATATTCTACACACGAAGTGTGAATATACTTGTCTTGTCTTCCATCCCAACTGGGCAAATGACTGTTTTGAACCTCTTTTGCTGATCAAAGCATTTAAACCACCACTACCACCCTGCATTATGTAATTAACATTTGAATTCCAAGCACGGGAAGTGCCTTCTGAACATGTGCATGTGCCTCTCTTCCAACAAGTGAAGGAACATCAACCTTCTATGCAAAGCACTGGAGGACTCATTCTTGAGCCTCGCAGAACTTCTCTTCAAGGTTCACTGGGGCTATTTTGTACATCTCCAGCTCAGAGCACAGTAATCAGATAAGAAAGAGGCTCTAAATGGACACATGGACACAGGCTCCATCTTGGTTACTCGATGAAACCCACGGGAGAAATTCACCTTCTGGGGGTCTGTAGAGAGACCTGAAGTTCCTGAGGTCCAAGGAGCAAGCATCTGGCGGCAGGTCGTGGAAACCAGCTGGCCCAGCAGATGTCTGAAATGTCACTCTCTGCCCAGAGACATTCTGACTTCTCAAAAACACTTTAGGAACATGCATAGAAAAAGAAGAAACAGGAGTTTACACACCTTGCAAGACAGTCTCCACAATGAGGGAAGGCTCATATGCTGGAGAGCTTTTGGGGATTGTTCATAATTGAATCACGTTTTATGAATGTGCTCATAGTTTTAATCTGTCCACTGAATGCATATACTGTGTGTGTGTGTGTGTGTGTTTTCTTAAGTTTTCGCAGAATCAATACAGTATCAGTACAGAAGCCTGATGATGGCAGATGAGATTCTGCCGAAACATTGCTACAACTTTAAAAGCACAACTATAATGACGTGGGAAAATACCCGAACAAAGCTGAATGCCATACATGTAAGTACCCTAGCTTCGTGCCAGTGCACCAGCCTGAGGATGGTTCAGTGCCACTGTAATTTTGAACGGTCACTAAGCGAATGGTGAAAGTTGAGCACTACCTGTATGAGATTTGCAAAATTAGTAGACCAGAGTTTTGTAGAGACTGCTTGTCAGGAATCTGCCAGTCTGTTTGATGTGGTATCTCCTACCCTCTTGTTATATTCCAGTGAACCATTTGCCTGAACTGCTTCCGAATATTATCTCATTTCTCAGGATTTAAAAATGCATTTCTGCCCCTTTTGCCTTGGTAACATCCATGCATATTTCCCTCACGTCATCTTCCTTACTCTCGTTGTGGTTCGCCGGCAGCCTGTGTAGACAGCAGTGGAATCGGACAGTGGGGAAGAATGGGGACCAGTCTGGGAATCTGGGGAAGACTCGGACGAGGGTCCTGCGTCCAATGCAGAGATGGGGCCAGGACCATTGGGGAGTGGGGTGCTGACTCCAGAGCCTCCGGAGTCTGGCAGCAGCGAGACAGAGGACCCAGGGGAGCCTGTTCCCAGTGCACGTGTGCGCAGAGCTGCTAGGAGGCAAGAGCAGATGAAACAAAAGGGGCAACTCGGGAGTAAGGCTTGGAGGTGACTGCCCCTCCCCTAAAGTATAAAGGACAGGCAAAGGTAGAGCAACCTTTGCAGGAAGCAAAGTCGTTCGCTTTGTTTCGATTAATCCTTGAAGCTCTGTGTGGACTTTGAACTTCAGTTGTTTTTTTATAATTCATTTGGCACTCTAGTTGTTGGCAGCTATTCAAAGGAGAGAAAGGTGGGTGCTTATCTCGAGGGACTGTTTGGGACTCATTACAGGCTGGGAGTGCACAGACTTCCCAGCGTTGAAATAAAACAAGAGTTGTTTTAACTAAGCATGTGCTTAATGACGGTCTCGGGAAGTCTTGGTCAGAACAACTCTGTCTGAGACTAAAAAGCATATTGCTGAGGCAGAGAAAACCCTGGTGGGAGAGAAACCCACTTCCCTTAGCAAGAGTGGGGAAAGGAGGGGCAACCACATCCAGGACCCACTCACCCTGTTGGAACTGGCTCTTCCAGAATTGCTGGCAGTAGAGAATGGCGACCGTCAGGAGGACCAACGCCAGGAGTGCCAGGGCGCTGCTTGTGAGCACCACCAGAGCTGGGTCTTGGGCAGGATCCGTGGAACTTTCTTCTAAGCCAATTCTAGAAAGGCCTGCCAAGATCAGAAACATCATTCAAAGCAGGAAGGAACAGGGTCCCGTCTGATCTGTTTGGCAGGCAACAAATCCCACTTAGGAACCTGCCTGTGGCTGGACAGGACGTGTGTGTGCTCCGTAATGCAGAATGGAACATTTCCATCTCCCAAGTGCAAAATGGGTTTTGTTACGAGCCCAACTGGACGTTCCAATTCCCCAGTACTTAGCAACTGCGGAAATTCCCTCTTCCTATCTTGTTGATCAGGCAGGCCTGCTTTGCTCTTGTGAGTGCACAGCTGCTAAAAACCTTCCAGCCTTCCTACTTAAGACGACAGCATAAAGTGAGACCTAGCATGCCTTGCAGTTGAACTGGAATATATTGGAAATTAAAAATAAATAAATAAAAGCATTTTCAGCTGGGCAATGCAGATTCCATTCAGATAGAAAATGTGTGCTTGGAACCTGAAATCACCATTGCAAAACCTCTTAAGGAATAGAGTTTCTAGTCCTCTTGACCGGAACAACATCTCAAAATGCCACCCAGTCTCAAGAGTTTTATAGGCCATGAAGTCAGGCAGATTTGGCTGGGTTTTCTTCCTATTGATCAGGAGTCAGCACTGATAGGCTCTGCAGGGTTTCCACAATATCTCACAAGGCTAACAGGAGCAGGGCATTATTGAATATAAAGCAGAACATATAATTTACCCATCGTGCATCCAGAGGCACAACTAATAAAAGCCAGTGGTTATCAATTTGCTCTCCACCTCATATGCCAATGACCATTTGCAGAATCAAACTTCCCTGGCATGCAATTTCATATGTGGAGGCCAGGGGTGTGATAGCTCAGGACTTAAAGATGCTGAGCTTGTCAGCTAGAAAGCTGACAGTCTGGGTTTGAAACCCGAGCCCCATGTGATGGGGCAAGCTCCTATTCCTTGCTCCAGCTCCTGCCCACCTAGCAGTTCGAAAGCATGCAAATGTGAGTAGATAAATAGATACCACTATTTATCAATATTCTGAGAGCCTTGGGGTATACTCCTGCTGGTCACATGACCACAGAAGTGTCTTTGGACAACCCTGGCTCCCTTGCATAAGAAATGGAGATGAGCACCACCCCTGAGCATCGGACACAACTGGGCAGGGGCAACCTTCACCTTTACCTCTATGTGGGCAGGGAACCCAAATATTCAGCAAGCCTCAATCTTGCTGCAGTGTAGAACAGGGGTCTCCAAACTTGACAACTTAAAGACTTGTGGATTTCAACTCCCATAATTTCTCAGCCAGCCATGGAATTCGGGGAGTTGAAGTCCACAAGTCTTAACGTTGCCAAGTTTGGGGACCCCTTGGTGTAGAACTTTGTCAGGAGGATGAGGCCTGAAGCATAATGAGGACAAGGAGCTCCTAGAAGCCAAGTTAGTACATACACTGTTGTTCGGAAGGTGGGGTCTGCTTTGTGCATGGCACACATTCAAGGTCCTGGAATCCACCAATCTGAGTTTTACTGTAGAAGCTGTAAAAAGGAAGAAAAATGGACCGATGTTTAATATGGAGGAGCTGCAGAGGGCTACTTACCATCTGAACATGGGCAGAGGGCACCGGAGGCTTCCCAAAGGCTGCAAAACCCATTACTCTTAGTAAACTACTTCCTTGCTCCCCTGCTGCGCTGAGGACTGATTCATACACCAAAATCATTTCCAGTGCACTTAATATGTAATCACAGTGCAAAGGAAATAAGTGAATAATTGGCTTCATCCCTGCTCCCACGTTCATCTGCTTTTCCCGAGCTCAACCAGTCCTCATCATGCCAATGTTACTCCTTGGTGCAAGGATATCGAGGCATGTGCAAAACCAGGGTTATGAGCAGCCCACCTAGTGAACTAACCACTTTCTGAACATGGCATGGATTCCCTGATTTGACGTTGCTGCCCTACAAACCTGACCATTTTGTTTATTCATTCTTCAAATCTACGCCCCCCCCCCCCAACTTTCTTTCAGGATGCAATAGTCCTTTCCTCTTGTCCCCCCCCCCCCCCCAAATACACATTTGGTTCTGGCTGAGAGAGAGTGACTGGCTCAATGTCGCTCAAGAAGTTGCTGAGGCTGAACTGGAACTTGAGTCCCCCTTAACCAGTCTAGTCTCTCAGAAAGAAAGAAGAGTCCTAAGGCTACACTTCTGAACCCCTCAATCCCTGCTGGGCAGCGGGGGTTCCTGTGAGGGATGAGGAAGGAACACCAGCAGGAGAGCCAAGAGTATCCATTCCTAGCAAGAGCTCCCAGTTGTGGAGATGATTCCAGCTGAGAGGCAAGAGACTGGAGGCAAAAGTGACAACTGCCAAGCATCCATTTTCAAGTGTAAAGGAGAAGAAAGACAATGACAAACCACTCCAAGAAAAGTTTGCCAAGAAAACCATATGGTCAAATGATATAAAGCGATTGACAATATTGTGTCAGGCCCCTTGTATCAGGAGGCACTCAATATGCTACTGAAAATGAGCTAAGGAGCTTTTGCAGCAATGATCATGCTGCTGCTGCTGCTATTATTATTATTGTTGTTGTTGTTGTTATATTAAAGCAAGGGTCTTCAAACTTAGCAAGTTTAAGACTTGTGGACTTCAACTCCCAGAATTATTCCTGAGCTAAACATGGCTGGAGGAGGAATTCTGGGAGTTGAAGTCCACAAGTCTTACAGCTGTCAAGTTTGAAGACCCCTGTATTAAAGCCCCTGGGACATCTGGTTGCTGGATGCTCATCAGGTTAAAAAAGTTCACCAAGGGATTTCCAAAGTTTGGACTCTCTTGGTCAACTGCAGGCAGATTGTATACAAATGGGAGCAATTCGACACCATCGTGAACAGCAACCATGATCACACCAAACACAAGGGGTGTAATACTCTGGGAGCCCTTTAACCCAATCCACCTCTCCCTCCTAGGATGTGATTTTCTTGATGATGCTCTTAAAAAAGGTAACTTTACAGGATAGCTTCCTCAAGCATCCTGTCACAACCCCAAATGGACCCTCAAGAGCTGCCCAGTTCTGCATTTGCCGTTTGAGGTCCTGTTTTGATCAAGGGCTCCCCGTGGAGCTGGACAGCCTTCCTTACCCGGGGAAGCAGCCTCCACAGGTGGCATCGGAGGTTGTGCTGCAGTTGGACTTCTGGGCCCGGTTGATCAGTGAGCAGGAGAGGCAGGACTTGCAGCCATGCGGTCCCCACCTGTCCTTGAACCTCCTGGGCTGGCATGGGGTGCACTCAGCCTCCTTCCCTTCCCCATAGCCACACTCCTGCAAGAGAGACGCATCCCGTAATTCTGCCTGTGCATGCAGAAAAATCACGGCAGAAAGAGAGGGAGAGGGAGAGGGAGAGGGGTGGGTGGGTGGGTCTGTTTTACAGAGGAAATGCTATGAATTACGTTGCAGGGGTGACGATCTTCCACCTATTCCAAGAAGGGTAATTTAGTACCCAAATTGTCACAAAATACGTTCATTACGACAATCCATCTAGCACAGTCTTCACTGCTGTCTTTTCACTTGGCTAAAAGAAGCCCACCAACACCATCTGCCGCTCTTACTATATTTTCAGCAAATAAAAACATCTACACCAGCTTTAAAGCTGAGGAATTTGGGGAGGGGGAATAAATGGTCTTTTTTCAGGGAAATACAATATATATATACTTCTGAAGGGAGAGATTATGGAAAGACCGGATTGTGGCTTATTCCACAGACTAAAAATGTAAGAGAAAAAATGTTTGCATGCCAATTTTGCATGCTAATTTGCACAAAAAAAAGAACAAAGCAGAGCAACAGTTTAATTTTTAAAATGCCTGCCTGATTTGAAATAAAAGTTGAAGTCTACAGTCATAAACTGCTGTGCTAGACTCAGAGTTTCCTATGCAGATTCCATTGGGGTGCAAACGTCTGAGAAGGCACAATAAGCCCATCTTCAGATTACCTTGGAGAGTTCGAATCCAGGGCCACACTCCTTGCAGGGGTTGCATTCGCCATGGTCATCCAGGTATTCGCCCTCTCGGCATTCCTCGGGGTTTGCAATGGAGGGGGACACAAGAGCCTGGTGGAAAAAACACCGTAAGAGCCAGCATGACATGAGAGAGCCAGCATGAAGAGAGTGGGAGCACCATCTCCCCAAGAACCCTTCCACAACGCAAGAGACTGAGTAAAGCCGAATTACTAAGGGTTTTTTTTAAAGGCTTCCCTGGTGTTCATCCAGGATTCCTGATAAAATCTAGGAGGTGCACACAGAATTGGATCAGTAAATTCCTCTCAGACGTACTTTCCAATGGCTGCCTGCCACCAGACTTCAAAAAACAAGATATCACTCCTTGTCATGCCCTGTCGGAGGCTGAATCTGAGGAGGAAGCCGAACAGCTGATAGGGAGTGGCTTCGCTGGCTGTAGAGGAAACTGGGGAAGGGTGTCCTGGGAGCGGTGTCCAGCTGGGCAGAGCAGGGAAGAGGTAGAACAAGGGAGAGGGAATTCAGAGGAAGACCCAGGTCCACCCCCTCTTCATCCTAGGGCACGCAGGGAGGAACGGATAAGAGAGCAATGTGGGTTGGGTGGCTTACGGGGGAGGAAAGGGCCCTGATTCCCTTCATTAGGCACACCTGGGAAGAGAGTTTAAAAGAGATGCAAGCTGAGAGCGGTGACCGCTGGGAACAAACGTGACTTTATCTTATGTTGTTGTGGCTTATCTGTGTTCCTGGCGTCTTCCCAACCATGTGAGTTTTGCCATGCTTTCAAGTCTGAAATTCTTGCTCCTGCCCTGCTACACTAATTACTTCAGTTTGGCTTGTTTGGACTTTAAGTTACAGTTTGTGTTTACCCTGTTTTGGACTTAATTTTCTGCAGTCAAAGGCTGTTCCTGGGAGAGTTTTTCTCCAACCAGAAGGTAACCTGGACACTGGGGACAAAGTTGGGGATAATAAAGGGACTCTTATTGATTATCTGACTGTATTGCCTTTGTGCCATGCCCCGGGTCATCACACTTCTAAAACCTGGCAAACCACAAGACAGAGTTGAAAGCTACTACCCCAATTGCCCTTTTAAGCTCCTGATTCAAACTCCTGGAAAAATTCATTACAAACAGGATAGGTCCCATAACAGATGAACATCTATCCGTGGAACAAGCTGCCTTCCAACAAGACTGGACCTCTGTAGATCAGGGGATAAGCCTAACTAATTGAAGCAGGATTCCAATGAGGCCTTAAAACCATGGCCATGTTCGTAGACCTAAGGGCAGGATACGACAGTTTGGAAGGATGGGTTGTTGGACAAACTGTGCCATATTATCCCCTGCAAAAATCTCTCCCGACTAATTAATAACATGCTAAGCGATAAGTCCTTTCAGATAATAATGGGGGACAACATAATTCTATCTTCTGGGGGAAGAAAGTAGTTGCTCCTAAAAGCAGTTTTAAATAAAAGGCAGGTGATTCCTGGTGGCGGAAGGAGAGCCCAAAGTCTCAACCAGCCAAAGGAGACCCCGAGAGACCCTCACAGACAATGGAGGTTCCTTGTTCAGGGAGCAGCTGCAGAAACTGGCACCTGAACCCAAAGGATTCATTAGAACAGCCACTGGTTTCAGTACAGTGACCTCCTGAGGAAAAGCCAGGTGGGCCTCAAGCCCCAGTTCTGCTTGCTGACCGACACCTGTGCGCTTTTCGACAGGATTTGCACTGAGTCTCTCTGAAGTTGAATGGAACAGCGAGGCTTCAGGACCCTCGCAATGCTGCCTTGCCCGGTGATGGCCAAAATGGGGCAAAGTAGGCCGAGGTGTTGCCAAGGTGCAGTGCTCAACCCTCACCCAGGCAGCTGTGGACAAGCCCAGGGCCACCCGGGTGTAACACATCATTACGCAATGGCCACGGTTTCCTTGCCTGCCTCAGACTGGGGGGGGACACAAGTCCCAACAGCGGCATCGGCAGGGTAACGTCGCTGGGAGCATCGCTTCCCACAGATCCCGCCTTTCCACAGCTTCTGTCGGGGACTTTTCCTATCCGCAGGGCGGACTCTTACCTGGGTGGCGATGATCAGCGTGAGACGCAGGGCAGCTCCCTTCTCCATGCCAAACCCCTCCGTTCGCAGCTCCTTGGGAAGCAAACTGTGCAGGAAGGAAAACATGAGCCTCTCCTCAAAGCCCCGTTTCTTCCCCTCTTCTGTTTCAAGGCAGGGATTGACTTCCTCATAAGGGGTCAGAGAGACGGCCCTGAGCCCTGCTGAGGAATTGGGTGGGTGGGGGGCGCAGCAGGAAATCCCCAGGCTTCAGGCTGAGCTGAGCTGGGCAGAAGGCAGCAGCCACAGCAAAGCTCTTGGGCCACACAGACCAGGGAGGACACCTGCCCAGAGTCAGCTGTCGCTCAAAGGGGACCTTCCTGATCAAGACTGAAGCACACCTGAACAGCAGGGACAAAGTGAGCCACCCAGAGTCGTGGGACGGCGAGTTGGGTGGCAAATAAATTTAATAAAGAAATGAGAAATAAAAAGACAACCAGCTCACCATTTATAGCAGACTTAAAAACAAAACTTAGATACAAAGAGGGGGGGGGGTTTATGTTAATTATCCTTCCTCAGAATTGAGTCACGGGTAATCCTTGACTTACAACCACAACTGAAATCAGAATTTGCATTATTAAGCAAGGCAGTTGTTAAGTGAGTCGCGCCCAATTTTATGACATCTTTCCCCATGGTTGTTAAAGCAAACGACTACAGTTGTTCAGTGAGTCGTGTAGCTGTTGAATGAATCCGGCTTCCCCCCCCTTCACTCTGCTTGTTGGAAGCCACCAGGAAGGTTTCAAAGGGGAATCATTTGATCATTTGACCCTGGGAAGCTGCAATAAATGCCTGACAGTGGCCAAGCACCCAAATTTTGACCACATGACGGGGAAATGATGTGATGGTTGTAAGTGTGAGGACTGGGTTGTAAGTCTTTTTCCCCCCAGTGCCGTTGTAACTTTGAACAGTCACTAAACGAAGGGTTGTAAGCTCAGGGTTACCTGCATTAAGCTCATTCAGGCAGAACCTGTCCTCTTGACCTTTACTAAATCTGAATGAGATGGTGCCTATTATACTAGATCGCTATTTAATTATAATTAATACTAGATCGCTATTTAATTATAATTAATAAATGGCTGAGAGTAGTGGGGTATTTACATTTTTAAATTGTATAGAGATTATTGTATGGTTGGTTGTTTTTTCTTTTTCTTTTTTAGTGGTGTTTGTCTAGTTTTACTTGTGGAAGAGCACCTCATTTCGTTGCACCCGCTTGTGAGTGTAATGACAAATAAATTCTTATGTCTTATGTCTATTTCTCCCAAGAGCGATTCAAGGATCTTCACCCAAGACCTCTCAGGAGCCCCTGAAACGGAAATGATTTGCCAGCCTAGGTTGAAAATAACATGCCATATAACATCCCACCAGGTAAGCAGCAGAGGAATGAATGGCGAGCCCGAGTGGCCGATTCGGCCGCAGGTGGCAGACGGCAGCCTTCGGGCTCAGAAGCGGGGACTGGGGTGATGGCATGGACGGGCTGGGTTTGGTGCTGGGGGCAGAGCCTGGCCAGTCCCTGGAGATGCAGCCAGGTGGCCAGCTGGAACTTGGCCACTCTGGAAACAGGGGGGCTGCTGGCTGAGCCACCCATTTGTGGGAGACACGGCTGTCGTGGCTGATGGGAGGACTTGGGGGATGGCGGCAGCAGCCGGAGCAGGCGGGGGAAAGAAAGCTGACCTGGTCCAGCAGCCACCTTCTTCATCTCTGCTACCCTCTTTGTGGGATGCAGGACTTGGTCACACTGCTTTGAACTGAGTGCCTGATGGCCGGAAGGGAAGGGCAGAAATGGCAAGGATTTTGTGGGTCTTCGATGGTTTTTGTGGCAGTGTGGCCTCCAAATTAGCCCCACATTTGAAAATCTACAGTGAAACTCCATGAAACTTAATATTTTCCAAATAATCAAAGCATGCCTGGCAAAAGATCCATTTGGAGGGTCATTCATATGTCAGATTCCACATTGCAACAGTGAGAAACTACCACTTGCTGAGTTTTGGTGAGGTATCAAAAAAGACTATTTATAATTATCTGAGAAGGCTGTCAACATACATACTTATCCCTTTTTCCAAGGCCATATATAGGCGAAGCTGGATTTTCTTCATATAGTGCAACAAAAACTACATCTTGCAGTAAATTAAATGCAGAACCAGAGATGAGAATCCAATTGTCTTTTATTATTTGCAAAAATAATGCCACTCTTCTCATTAACCTTTTAAAAGTTAAAAACTTTTTCATGAAATTTTTATATTAATATCTAATAGTTTGATATTGTTATTTTTGCATTTCAATAAAGTTCTACAAATGGGTCCATTATAATTTTAATAAGGAAAATATTGATAAATATAAACAAAAGCTCTTGTGAGTCCTTTTTCAATTATGGTGACTTTATCCTCAAATCTTGAGTTGGAGTTGGAATTAGAAGGTTGAATTTTTCATTGGTTTACATATTTACCATTGAAAGAAAGATTTAAATTAGATTAAAAAAATATGGATTTTATTTTGTAAAAATGAATTGGAAATTCTATTGTGTGGTAATGAACATATTGCTGCTATTGAAAATGAATTTGGAGAATGAGTATGTAAACTTAGTTTGATTCAGTGGGCAAAGAGTTTTGGATATAATATAATGTTTGAACAATAGGAAAACATGGAAGAAAAATTTAAAATTTACATTTAACTATAATTTAAAAGAAACTTTCTATAAGATAATGTACCTGTTGGTAACAGTGGACAAATGGTCAAGAATGTATAAAAATACTTCAAATGAATGTTGGAAATGTAAATGTATAAAGAAGGAACTTTTTACCATTTATGGCGGACTTCCGATAAAGCAAACAAATAATTGGAGTAGGATTCACATCTTAATAGAGAAGTTTCTTAAAGTGTATATAAAGCTAAAAAACCAGAGAGTTTTCTTTTGGATTTAATTGATAAACAACTTGGAAAAAAGCTAGAACTTCGATAATATATGCTGACAGCAGCAAGAATACTCTATGCACAAAAACGGAAGGATACTTTGATTTCCAGTAGACAAAAGGCTGCAAAAGAACACAAATAATTTTGTTTTTACTTGGAAACCACTTTTGGACTTTGTCCTTGAGGTGGAAAAAAACGAAATTCTGATTTAGGGTTTTGCTGATTAGGTAGGCTTTATGTTATAGAAAAGGCTAATTACAGTATTACAGTATAAGTAAAAAAATTGAGGTTGTTCTGTCTTATTCTACTGCGGCAAAAGGAGTCCGAAGTCCAGGCTGCCTTTCCCTTTTTCCTCCCCTATTTTCCCACTTCCATTTTCCTTTGTGTTTAATATTTGGATAAAGTTATTTAAAAAAAAATACCAAGCCCGGAAAAAACGAAGGAAGAGCGATCCACTCACCGGCCGATCCCCGCCGCCTCCGGGTCCGGGAAGGCAACGCGCGGCGGCAGCTCCGCTTCTCGCCCCGCCAGCACCAGCCGAGGTGGAGCCCGGGACGTGTCGGGACTTGCCCGCCGCCGCCGCTCGCCCTGCCCAGCCGGGAGGGAAAGGAGGAGGGAGGGCCGGCTTACACGCCCCCTCCGCGGGCTCCTCGGGGGAGGCGGGGGTCGCCGGGGAAGGCCAGGGACTCGCGTCCGGGCTCCGCGGGGCGGAGGGTCGGCCGGCGGGCTGGACCGGCTCCGCTAGCGCAGGAGCCAGCCGGCCAGGTGGGTGGCCGAGTGAAGGCGGGCATCCCTGCGTGGAATCCCAGGCGGGCTCTGAGCGCCCTTCCAGCCCCGGCTCGGCCGCAGACTTCGCCGGGCAGAGGTTCCGGGCGTCCCCGGTGGAAGCCGCCGTGCGGCTCCTGGGCCGGGCGCGTCTCCCAGAACGGGACTCGCCTTCCTCGCTCGGGGCTCCCGGAGAGACCGGGCCGTTCAGGGACTCCTCGGACTGGCGCCTCCCCACGCAGGTCTCGGGGGGGAAAGGAAAGAAGAACCAAGCGGGCGCCACCGAATCCTCCGCAAAGCGTTTGCTTGGATACCGCCTAGCAAAAGGACGCAAAGCAAAGCTCTGAAATTGCAGGCAACGTTGCTTTCTAATTCAGCACCGAACTGCCCGAACACTCTCTACACTCGCCCCAAAGGCGCTTTTTTTTTTTTTTCAAGAGGCGGCTGGACTTTCTGGTTTTTCTTTGAAGACGTTTCGCTTCTCATCCAAGAAGCTTCTTCAGCTCTGACTGGATGGTGGAGAATGGAAGGATTTATACTTTATATTACCCAGTCAGAGCTGAAGAAGCATCTTGGATGAGAAGCGAAACGTCTTCAAAGAATAGAATAGAATAGAATAGAATAGAATTCTTTTTTGGCCAAGTGTAATTGGATATACAAGGAATTTGTCTTGGTGCAAATGCTCTCAGTCTACATAAAGGAAAAGCTACATTTGTCAAGAGTCAAGAATCATCAGGTACAACACTTAATAATAATAGTCACAGGGTACAATAAGAATAGAACAGAATAGAACAGAATAGAATAGAAGTCTTTATTGGCCAAGTGTGATTGGACACACAAAGAATTTGTCTTGATGCAAATGCTCTCAGTGTACATAAAAAGAAAAGATACATTCGTTAAGAGTCAAGAATTATAATATACAACACTTAATGATAGTCAGAGGGTACAATCAACAATCAAATCATACTAGGAAACAGTCAATATAAATCATAAGAATACAAGCGACAAAGTTCCAGTCATACAGTCACAAGTGGGAGGGGATGGGTGATAAGGAGTGATGAGAAGATTAATAGTAATAGTAATGCAGACTTTGTAAATAGTTGGACAGTGTTGAGGGAAAAACCAGAAAGCTCAGCTGCCTCTTGAAAAAAGCACCTTTGGAGCAACCATGACCTGGACAATGGAGAATCTCCTTAGACATTCATTACAGTCTCTCTTTTAAAAAAGCACCAACCACCCTAGCTGTACTGCTAACTTGGACAAGTATCTCAGATGCTATGTATGTATTTTGGATGTTTTTATTGTATTGCTGAATATATCTCTCTCTGCTAATATCATAATTTTGGGCCTTTTTCATCTGTGGTAGTGGCCT